CAACACGTGGCAAAAGCACACACACCTTCAACAACAACAAAAAAAAAAAGGTCAGCATTTCTTCCGAGCGAATCTAAACATGTGCAATTCTAGGCTACTAAAATGGCCCGGGACCACTTGCCCGGGCAAAAACAAGTTAACAATTAAAAAAAATATATATATATCGTCAAATAGACTCAATATACACATTTTTTTACTTTATTTTTTATTTAAAATTTGGTAAGGGATTTCGATGTGACCCTGAGGCAAAAGTTGTTCAGTTTATTTTTCTGCATGACATAGTTTTTTATCAGATGTTTTTTTTCTGACTTCTTTTTGCTGGGACCTTCCCTGGTCCTTGCACGGCCGGGCCGCCCGGGAAAACAACGTGCCCGGGCGGCCCGGCTGGTAGCCTAGGCGAACTTGCAAATCATTTCTCAAGATCCAACCCCACCCTCCTTCTCTCAAAATAAAGAAGTACAGCAGACGTCCCTGCACCTTTATACTGTGCTATGGGAACGTGCATTCAAAAAATTCTTACTTCTTTTTGCTGGGATCTTCCCTGGTCCTTGCACGGCCGGGCCGCCCGGGAAAATAAGGTCACCCGGGCGGCCCGGCTGGTAGCCTAGGCGACCTTGCAAAATCATTTCTCCAGATCCAACCCCACCCTCCTCTCAAAATAAAGAAGTAGAGCAGACGTCCCTGCACCTTTATACTGTGCTATGGTGCTCAGGGAACGTGCATTCAAAAAATAAAAAAAGAGTGCAGAATCGTCTTTCCCCGAATAGAACGTACGGTCATCATAGAACGTATTTGGGGTAACTTTCAGTCTACATACAGCTACAATACCATGAATTCTTGTCGGGGGAAGACGATGCGAGGTAGACGATGAGCCAAGTGTGCGAGCAATATGAGCGACGGCTTGTACATACACTATTCCAGCCACTTCTTTTATCTTTAATTCAAAAATCCATGCACTGTACACAATACAGCCTCTTCTTCTTCTTTTCGAATTCAAAAATTCAGACACTATTCTGCAACCAAAAAAAATAAAAATCCATGCACTAACTGGCAGGCGATGGATGACACCATGGCAGAAGCTCAGCAGGCGGTGTTGCGCTATCGTCTTCATCCGGACGGTCATGACAGCTGTACTTGGTGCAACTTTCAGCCT